AAAAAGATGATATGATTTGTGGGTGGCAATTAAGAATCATTTGCTCTGTGGATAGAAGCGATTTGTTTGAAAAGCCCCAGCCTGGGAGAGAGCGAACTGGAGCTGGAGCTGGAGCTGGCTGTGGGTTATTGTGGGCAGTTACTGCCTCGTGGTGCAGACAGAGCTCCAAACACACAAGCAATCCTCCCACACTCCCGAAACACAGGGACCCTGTGAGGCGCGGAAACGGCCCGGGGCAGAGTCAGAGCCCCCTGCACACGGCCCAGCCCGCAAGGCACAATCTTTCATTACAAAAAAGAATACCAGGAGAACCATAAAACACTGTATCAGAAGAACACCAATTGCCTCTGACTACTAGATGAGTAGGTGCTGCCCACCTGACAGCAAGCGCGTGTGTGTGCGTGTATGTGTGTGTGTGCGTGTGTGTGCGTGTGTATGTGCGTGTGTGTGTGTGTGCGTGTGTGTGTGTGGTACAGAGGGCAATCATTTTATGTTCCTCTAGCACACACAATGCAGACCTGGGGCTGGGCCAGGTATGTGCTGTGTGTCCGCCTGAGAAGTGTCCACTGCTACCTGCCAACATCTTGTTGAGTGACTGGGCTCAGTATGTTGCAGGAGAGGCGACACGTTGACTCCCCGTAATTTGTGATAATTTCTTTAATTGAGCAAAAGAAATCTCTAAATGCCAAGGGCAGGAGGGCACTAGGAGCAGCCCCCTTCCCCTCGCCTTGTCCTGGGTGAAGTCAAGCCACCACCAATGGCCTCCATTCTTCGGTTTAATACGAAGCCATTCTGCCAAGTGACAATTTTAAGAAAACAGGAATACACATGCCTGTGGCCTAATGCTTCACACTTGAAAACATGTCCGTAAAAGTAGTTTTAACGAGAACATAATTTCAATTAGAAGCATACAAATTCCAATCTGTCTTAATCAAGTAACACCATAATGCTACTATTCTAATTAAAAAATAATTTCTTTTATTACTCTTAACCGTTTGATGTATTTCTACTAGTGAAATTATGAATGCAAAACTGCTCAATTTGCCCACACTGTGAGTTTCCCAGGTAAGATATCCCAGCACTATTTTAATTATTATTAAACAGGCAAATGGCACACTATTAGACAAATATTGAAACGAGCACTCACTTATTAATTTGCACATTCACTTTTAAATGCGGCAAATATCTCATTAATTTAATTTTAGGTGCCCACCAGTTTATACTGCATTTTACAGTCTAGAAGGCAATTTACTATTAACTGGCAATTACATACACAGTGATTGTTAATTCTGCTCCTAAGTGCTAGCTGCTTGGAAATTGTGCTCTCTCCCTCTAATTTTTGACCTTCTTACAACAGGGGTGAGGCACACTGGGAATGCAAAAGACTAGTGCGGAGGAGCTGGACATGTCATTTGTGACTCATTCTTTTAATTCACCATGCTAATCAACTGAGCTGCCACAGCCTCCCAAGGTGATTGTGAGTGGAGTGCAGTGGAGAGCAGTAGGGGCTGGAGGGTGGGCTTGGCCTGCCTTCCCCTTCTGGGGGGAGAGGCTAAGCACGACCACTCTGAGTTGACTAATAGGGTCTGGGTCTGAAGAATCTGGCGTTTCTCAGGTCCCTGTAAACAACAGCTCCTTTAGATGCCTGGCGAAGTCCCGCCCCGCTTCTGGCAGGCCAGGGGGAGGCCCCTCCTCTGAGTGCAGGTTCATTATCCTGTGGCCCAGCTGGCCCCCGGCTGGCCTCATGCCGGGAAGGTTAAATGTGAGGGTGTCCGGCAGCCTCCGGGGCCTGGGGACACTGATAGGAACCAGACGCCCCGGGGACGGCGCCCATGTCGGGACATGCAGAGGGGCTGGTTCCGTTTTCAACAGGGAGTGCAATTCTTGGTGATTGCCTCATTGTCCCCATCCATTTGGGGGCAATACAAATCAGACAGAAGCTTCCAGGCCAGACAGGTTATGACCCCCCCGCCTTCCTCTGCTCCCTGAGCGTGTGGAGCCTAGGCCCCCTTCGCCCGCGTTTGAAATGTGTATTCCTGCTAAGGATCAAGGTGTGGGGGAGGCAATGAATTAACCTCCAGCTAGAGAAAGCTCAGCTGCCGCCTGGTCTCCCTGAAAATGCCCACGCAGGGCACGACTGTGGGGGAGGAAATCCCTGGCCCTGGTCATGTGGGCCATGAGGTCCAGCCAGCCTGAGGAGGCACTGGACAGACAGGCCGTGTAGACACGGAAGGAGAGCCCGCAGGCATGCTGGAGTGGTGGCAACCAGCTCAGAGTTGGTGAGGGAGGCTCCCCCTCCTGGAGAGGACGCCCCCCAGCCAAGGAGGGCACCCTGCCCTGACTGTCCGGAGGACCAGGGGCTACAAGGGCTGCCCCTCCCGACCACGGGAACCAGCTCCCCTGACACCTGCCAACTCCGGCTCCCTGCACACCTGCAATTGTTTACAACTGTTCAGCCCAGGACCTTTCTCTGCAGCATGGGGAGAAAGAAGGGCAAAGAACCCTCAGTGGATGGCAGGCAAAGGAAGAAGGAGGTGCCGGACCTCTCTGCTCTCATATTTCCTCTAAAACAAAGGTGCCCATTCCCAGCCACCATACCACTGGGCAGACATCACCAAAACAACCTCCCATATGCAAAGACACGAACTTGGAATCCACTCAAAGCTTCCCTGAGGACCAGCAGATCTCCAGACAGTCTTACCCGGGAACGGTGGGGGACCCTCATGGAGACCGGGTCAGGCTTGGTGCCCGTGGATACGTGCTCACTGGGGTGCCTCAGCCAAGTCTGACCAGGTGGATGGTAGAGCTCACCCAGGATTTCACCCTACACTGGTCTTGTCACAATACAAGTGCTAAGATACATCATCTCCACCACTAAGGAACTCAGGATTTGGCCAGGTTCCCCACGGGCCCCAACAAAAGCTCAAAGTCAGTAACTTTCCACAGGGGTACCTGTTTACTGAGAGGCTGATGTGTGCCAAGCACTGTACAGAAGTTACACCGTTCCTCACCAAAACCCCATGTGGAGAAAAAAGAGAGACTGGGACTAGGAGAATCTGAGAGACACATGTCCAGGTCTCAGAGCCAGCACCCAGAGGTACGAGGCTGTTCTGGGTGCTAACCAGAGTCTCTGCATGGTATCAGCGCCACTAAAGCCTGAAGTCCATGGCCAGAGCCTCAGATGTGTAATCCCAACACCAAGTTACTGTGAGGTGTCATGAGTATGTGCACCACATGGCTGCAGCTCCTATGTGGAAACGGTCCTGTGACAAAGATGGTGGTAAGGCTCCCAGGGCCCCAAGTGGATCTCTTACCTTCCCCAGGAACCTGGCGTCTACAGAGGTATGCTGCCCCTCTCTGCACGGCAGCAGCACTGACTTGTGGGAGTGCACACATGCTCTCCACTTACACTGGAGTAACAAGCCCAGTGTAGGTCAAAAATACCCTCAGACAAAGATGCATCCAATGCACCTTACCCACCATACATCGTGGCTTAGCCTGACCTACCTCAAATGTGCTCAGAACACTTCCAGCAGCCCACAGTGGGGTAAAATCACTCAGCACAAAGCCTGATTTATAACACAAGGTTCAACAGTTCACATAACTTACTGAACACTATACTGAATTTGAAACACGGAACAGTGATATGTATGTGCTTCTGCCATGATAAGGTTGAGAAACCTGAAGCTGACATATCTGGACTCTGGGACCATCCATACATGAGTGTTTAAAAGCATGCATGGTCTTCTCTGTCATGTCTTTATTTCTTAATATACTAGGGGTGTCACACTCTGGTAATCTCTGGATCTTACAGGAGTCCAAGAGTGTCTGGGCTTCTGCAGTGGGCACGGGACACACGGTCACATCAGCTTTTCACCTGCATCTCCCACGGTCCTTCTGTTTGGGGCTCCTGGTTCTGTTTGGGTGAGCACCCGTTTGGCTGGGGGTGCTGGACTGTCTGGGGGTGGCAGGTGCCTCTAGGCAGGCAATCCAGGCATATGTATGGCAAAGCCCTGGACCTTCCTAAAGAAAGAACCAGCTGGGAATGCCCACGACCTCCTTACCTGCAAAGCAGAAGGGGCCTGGGCATCCTCAGTGTCACCCGCCTGCTGGACAGGGGCGAGGATGGCACCCAGTGGAAGACCAGACCTGCTCCAGGAGGCACTGGGGTAGTGGCAGCTCAGGGACGAGGCCCAGCCCTCCCAACCTGGGTCCCCAGCACAGACGCCATTTACCCGCACACTCCTCTCAGGCTCCTCAGGGCCCCAAACACCAGCGCTGGTCCCTCCCACCCTCCTACCTTTGCCAGGGTTCAACAGGTGATTTCTAGCGTCATCAATGTCCCTCAAAC